CCGACTGGTAAAGCAAAAGCTGTCTCTATCTGCAACTCCATATCCTTCCTGACTACTGCCAGAGGCAAGGTGTGTTAAACATAAGCCAAAGTTTGTGTTCATGTACAAATTGTACGCAAATGTGCAGATTGTTTCCTTGTGTTATTTGCATATTTCTAATCAGTTTGTACAGAATGGCACACTCAGCTGCACAAACTTAAGATCTGCACGGTGTCTTTCATATGGTGCTAGGATTAAATTACAACAGGAAACAAAAATATCTAATTAATGTTGATGTACTGTTGACCTTCAGTGACAGAAATAAATGTTCTCCGCCACAGAGTTTGACAGAAATTGTATTGATCACTATCTGTCCTAGTCTCTTGATACGGGTCAAAGATGCAGAACTGCTGTCATACTTTATGATTTAAAGTATCATAAGCAAGCTTTGCTGATGCTTGCTAAATGTTAAGTGCCACATGGCATGAAACAGTCTTTAGAAGCTCTTGAGTGTCTTCAAGTGCAGTTTTTGAAGGATTATGACAAATACGTACCCAAACCATTTGTAACAGTAGTGATTCCCTGCAGAAATGTATGAAATTTCTAAACTACTGATTCCCATTGCTTCTAGCAGAAGTCAGACTGATACATTCAAAATAAGTTTGCAGTGGGAGTTCTTGTAGAAAACTCCTAAATGCAGGGCCGAACAGGTCGTGCTTTAAAGTTGTGTAACATCACTTAGAGCTGAGGTAGTATCTTTTGTCAGGTGATACAATTCTAAATTCAAAACTGATTGTAGCATGTGCAATCTGGTCCTCTAGTGAAGTAAATTAGCACTGTAAGTTAGAACCCTTTACCACTACAACCGTCATAACACTCTGCCAGTTTGCCTCCAACAGCTTTAACTTGGAAACTGCACTTTTTTCAACCTCGAGAATTACTCCCATTTTTGAAATGTTAAAATGTGCAGTGAGTATTAATCATGTAAATTTAACATATTTTCCTTTTTCATTTCTCTTTCCCTGACATTTCTCTTTTCAAACCAGATCATGGAATTGCAAAGATGCTTCTTTTAGTCTTCCTCATCATGCGTCTCTTTTCAAACCAGGTCATGGAATTGCAAAGATGCTTCTTTTAGTCTTCCTCATCATGCTTTTTACACAAATTGCCAGCTGCTTATCAAATAATTATTTTTCATTTTTGAATTTTATGTTCATGTTCATTATGTTATCACTTTGGATTTTCAGCTACTGTGACCTCTGCAGATATGACCTACATTTCATTTGCTTGATATTCAAATGTAACATTGTTCACAGTAGTTCAAAAATAATATTTAAAAGAAGGAAAAAAAGATAACAGCATTAAAAATTACAAAGATTATCTAATATTGCACATAATATGCTGTATAACCTTTCCACAGCATTAACATTAAAGTTGGAAGTTTAGTAACATAATATAAAGACCTACAAAAATACCCCCCCCCAACCCCCCCCCCCCAAAAACAAAAACAAAAAAAAAAAAAACCGAAAAAAAAAAACCAGCCAGGAACAATAATTTGATACAGAAATGCACTTGTTTTATATTATAGCGCTGTCTCTCAGAAGTCATAAACGCATTATGATCATTTCTTCCATTTCTAATTTTAGGGAAACTGACCAACTGTTTAAGTGTTTGAGAAAAAATAAGCTTTTGTTCTCAATTCCCTCCTCTAACAGCTACTGCTATTTGGAAGTGAATGCAAGGTTCATGAAAGGTATTCACCCAATAGCAAAGCAGTCTGACTACACAGTACTCTTTCAGCAGCAATTACTTCTCTAGCAGGGAATCATATCAATCTGCCTCCAGTAATTCTGATAGAGAAATGACTAACCAGGTCACTTCTGGTAAGCACTATGAGTGTTTATTTCCTTCCTGCCCACTTAAACTCTGTGAACGTCGGAGGTGGATATTCATGCTATTCCATAATAAAATAACTTTAATCATGTACTTTTGCTTAGCGGAAAATCTTGTGAATGGTGTTATTTCTTCTTAATGTGAAGTTATTCAGATTTCTAGTAGTTGCAGTGCTTTTAGTTAAAAGAAATATATTTTGTCTATTTCAATATTGCTTTTTTTTTCAACCAAAGTTAAGCAATCCATGGTTTGGAAAAGAGCAGCTTAATTCCAGATATCATGCCATACTATGCAGTAGATGGGTAAGTTTTAAAATAGAGATATTATCAATATCACTGTGTACTTTTCCAGCTGATAAATGATTTGACTAAAGCAAAAGAACTGCTAACAAAAAAATAAATCTAATTTTTGAAATGATGCTATCTAGATCAGGAGATGACTAAGAATGCAATGAGTATTAATCATTTTGTATATATGGTAAATAGCAAGTATCTCCACTTTTCCACAGTATAATGAACTTGTTAAATATGTTATTTTTTTTAGAATTTATCAATGTGTGGAACAGTAAGTTTTGCATGTGAGATGATATGATATACATTAGTCTAGATGTTATTCAACAGGATCTAGCAAAATTAGACAAGTAAGCTATATAATGTCAATCTGATGTGGAAATGTTGCCTGTTCAAATGGGTTAACAAAAAACAAACAAACAAACAAAAAAACCCCAACATTTTGTGTTCTTCACAAATACATAAAGTTAGTTTTGTAGGAAGGAATAAATGATGAATGCCCCATCCCCGGAGGCATTCAAGGCCAAGCTGGATGTCATTCTGGTCAACCTGCTCTAGTGGTTGGCGACCCTGCACACAGCAGGGTGGTTGGAACTAGGTGATCATTGTGATCCTTTTCAATCCAGGCCATTCTATGATTCTATGATTCTATTATTTATGTGACTTTAGCTATGTCTGTATTTCTCTAAGCATTTTGGGCTCAATCCTAAATTTCCTTATAATCTTCTGCCACTCTTCTGGTTCTCATGTAGAATGAGTCCAACAGTGGCCCAGAAAGGGAAGTTCAGCCTCTCAAGAAGGGGGCTGTTGTTGAACCATACAGCTACAAAGGCAGGAGTTTGAATTCAAGCACAGTTGCTGCAAACATAGTAAATGTGGGCACTGTGAAGCACTCACTGAAAATCTCAGCTTAATTGTTTTTACCATAGAATGCAAATAAAAATATGACATGATTGCAACACAGAGTTGTATTCATTTCTTTACGAATTTTACAAAGTGTACTGTCCTTACAGAGTGAGGTAGGTGATGAAAATTATCAGGCACACAGGCAAATTCTTACATGAAGATTAAAAGGATTAAGACTTTCTCTTACGGAGAAGATGCATGAAATGGGACATGAGCAAAATATATAATAGGCAGTGGCTTAGAATAGCCATTGTTTTTGTTTTGTTTTCCACTCACAGTAAAAGAAGGAATTCTTGGAGCTTAAAGGAGGCAAAATTTGAACTTATAAAAGCAAACAATTTTCGTTCATCACAGAACCAGGCTGTAAAATTCACTTCCAGAAGAAATGTTCAAGACCAAAAAGTTATCAATTCAAAAAGTTTAGACAATTATGTAGATTATGGAAATATTTAGTCATGTTCACAGGAAATATTTAAAACCTATATAAAAGTTCTGGAAGGAATGGAAATCTTCATGCTAATGATTCAGTCCACTTTTAATTGTGAGAGGGAACTGACAGGATAAATTAATGAGAGCTACAGACATACGGAAGAGATGAAACAGAAGGCTGTCATGTCTCAAGGTTAAATAAGATGCACGTCTGTGATAAGGCATATTATAATGATTCATACAAATACGTAGTAGCAGCATTCTCTTGTATGTGACTGCATACACTAATTTAGCAAGCACTTTAAAAAGTTTGTTGTGGGTCTTGGTTGCTATTATAAATAGTATGCCTTCACCAATACATATGTGGTGCAATATATTTCTTAAATGTAGGGATGCAGTCTAAATTCCAGTAAAACCAGTGGAATCTTATTCTGTTGCCTCAACAGAATAAGGAAATTAGATAAAGTAGCAGAGTTGTAAAATGAAAGTAGGATGAGTACAGTTTGAAAAGTACCTCACTTTTCTTGATAGAGCAATTGATCATACAAATCTTACCAGGACGTTCCACTGCTGATCTCTTCATATAGACATATAGACATAAAATTGAAAAGAAATGTTGACACTTGTGTGCTTGTGAGAGGCATAATTATAGCTGGATTGTTGGGAGGACGACCTGTCATTCCAGAGTATTATCTTATAATCACTCTACATTTGTTTTTGTGTTTATGTGTTTTTTGCGCACTTCTGAATTTTCGGGACCTGCCTTTGGAAAACACAACTATACAAACCCAACCAGCAGAGATTGATTGTGTTGTTGAGGAAAGTCCATAGAACAATCTCTCATAGTCTTAATTTTTGTCCTTTTTTGCTATTGTCTTGTTATTGTATCGAAAAGAAAAAGCTGACTGAGAAGGGAAAAAATATTGGCTAACACATGGAAAATGTAACAAAGACTTCCAGCAGAAGAATAAATTCAAACTTCCAGAAGATATACAGAAGAATTACCATTTGATAGTCACAGATTAACTGTGGCTCTGGCAAAGTCATTGAGTATGCATCAGTTTTATTTGAAGTGCAGACTCACACAAGGGCTCTAGGCAAGTCATAGGGTATCCTGAAAGTGAAACCCCAGCTACACAATGTCATTAGGCTCATTTCAAGTACGAGCAGTGTGGGGTGGCAAGCACAGCAGAGCCTGCACGGTCTGCTAGCCTCTGTACCACGAAGTATTGGCATGTGTCCACATTGTTAAATCTGTATTATTTGGGTATGTCAGGCTGAAAAGAGTTACATGGTGTTATGCATTCTGAGGGAGCATCACTAGACAAGCAAGTCATTCAAACTGATAATATGCTCTAGTCTTTGACTAAAGTCTTGATTTTTCTGCCCCCAAAAGGCTTCATTTTAAAGTAGTTCTGTATGAAATTGCCTTTTTCTCTCTCAGTTAATTCTCATGTCTAAAGTATCCTATAGCACATATTGCAAATTCATCACACACTCAAAGGAAATATTGTACTTCAGCTGTTCTTTTATTTTACTTTTCTTGTTTGGTCATGTGGTTACCACCCTAGGATATTTTGTTCATCCTGGAATGTAAAGCAGTGACATTAGTGGGGAATGGAAACTTGTCCTGATCTTACACAATAATATCCTTTTCGTTCAGCTCTAGTTACTATATCTGATAAACAGGAACTACTTAACATGATGCTAATTTACTATCAAGTTTGCTTCACATGTTTAAAATATAAAATTCTGTCGCTCACTGTTGCAACAAATGTCCTATCTTCCATGCACTAATCTTGTATGGCAGATGCAGACTCTCAAATACATAAATCTACTTGAAAACCAATCTGATAAAATGTTATGCCTGCAAAATGATGATTCACTTATATCAATGTACTTGTCACTCAGACCTTTAAAAAAATTACATATAATACCACAGAGTTGGGTGGGTGCTGAAAATATGCAAGACCTTGATAATAGGAAAACATTAGCCACAAAGTGTAAAGGAGAAACACTAATTGAAAACAACTGCACCAGTCCGAAGTTCTCTAGTCTGTGCATTGTATATTACAAAAAGGAACACATAAACCTTTGGTCTTACAGTGTGACAGCAACTATTTCATGTGCAATGGCAGTTTAACTGGAGGTATCTTACTCATCTCTCCAGTTTTATACCCACACTGTTTATAAAAACAGACATGGTTTAGGCTTTATGAATCAATATTTTAATGCTGGTGTCAAAACTTTAACTGATGCATCTTGCTCTACCTCCAAAGTATTCTGTTCTGAAAAGGTTGTTTTCTCACTTTCTAAGCTATTGCTGGGCACAGATTAACTACACATAAGTTTTACTTAATATAATTTGCTTTATGTGATTTTGTTGCTGATTAAAGATCTTCCACCACTGCATTGAATTTCTCATATCTTTAATGTTTGTATTCATACAGTGAATGTATGAAAGCTGTATATGTATGAGCTGAAAGACACAACAATGTTGTAGTGTAAGCTAAATTCCTCTAAAAGTTGAAGTCATCTTCTCAAAAAATGCATTGACATGATGGAATGAAATAGTTCTTTTTATCTCTCTTTTGTAGATAAAATAATTCCCCACTAGACTTCATGCTGAATCAAGCATACCTTGCACCAGGTGTTCTTGCAGACAGCCCCTGAAGGGGCTAACACATCGATAACACTGTCACCTTTGAACAGAGCTGATCCACGAAGCAGCAAAGTCTCTTTGCTCTTCACTCTTGGCAGTCAAGAATTAAGTTCATTAAGTTCTGCACCAGTAGTCTGGGTGGGATGTTTTTGTTTTTTGTTTGTTTTTCACAACCTTAGGAAGGCTTATCAAAGAAGAGCTATCATATATTCCTCCCATCTTCGTGAAATTCTGTGGCAAGATACAAGAGAAAGACACAAATTAGTGCTTACTCAAACACACAGAAAATAATACAAAATTGAATTGTTACCTATGCTATACCTGCAAAGTTTCAAGTTAGCAGTGTTTTGAGTCTTATGATGGTGTTATAGAGATACAAAGACTGCCACAGTTATGGCTGTGAAGGGCAGCAGGGTTACAACATACACAGTGCAGAAGAATCTGGGTTTTGTCACTTCTCTGTTTGTTGAATACTTGTCTCATTTGGCAGAAACTGTTCCTGGAGTGAGAAGTATTTAGTATAAATAGTCACTGTCTATCCACATTACCTAAGTTGATGATAGGATATTCAGGAAATAATGAAATTACCTCTATTCAATGTTTAATAGTTAGTAGTATGAAAAGTGGAGGAATTGAAGCAGGGTAATTTATTTGGCAAGGCAGGCAGAAGTGACTTAATAAAAGTCAACCAGGTACAAATTTAATGCTGTAGCAATAAATTTTAGTACCTACTTGCCATTCAGAAACCTAATTCTGCTGAAGCATTAGAGAGATGCATCAGTGTTTTGCTGGATTACAAAACATAATTTTGATATCATAGTTCATAGCTGGGATGCAATGCCAGCATTCTGTATTCTTAACTTTGTTAAAGTTTAGAATGATCTGCAATGTTACAAGGAGGATCAGATCAGTACAAGCATTATTAGCAAAAGAAACAAAGAAGATTCCTACTTCATTTTAATTCAGCTATGCTTATGTGGAAATGTAAATTTTGTTCTCAATAAATGTCACAGCAGAATTCTACTAATACTCTCCAACTAAAAGAATTTGGTCATCTTTTTATAGAAATGCGTTTGGGGCCTGGTCCAAACCTCATGAAAGTCAATTGAGATAATTGCAATGGCTTTCGTGAATTATTTTGACATTAAAAGACCAATAAAACATATAAAGGAAAGGATTTTGGTAGAACAAAACTGCAAAATTGTACGTCGAGTTCCAGTGGAGTACATTGTTTTAAAGAGGCCCCTATTACTGCTAAGGGAACCATGAGCTGAGCAACAAAAGATAATAATAGGTATAGAAAATTTCTTATCTGTGTTCTCAGGCAGTGAGAAAATGTCAATGGATGTTATCTGTGAAAACACAAGATTGAGTGAAAAAAAAAAAAAGGAAAAAGTAGAAGATAGCAAAGGGGAGGCAAACAACGGAGGCTGTCCCTATGAGTTGGAGAAGAATGGTAAAGGAGCTCTGGAATCAGCCAGTCCTGAGAGACACAAGGAAAGGCATAAAATGGGTCCTGACAAGACCCAAGAAACCTGGCTGGATCCGATGACTGCTGGTCAGGGGGCCCTTTGGGTGTAGTTTTAGTCAGGGGAAATAACCTTGTGTTGTACTGCTTGATAAAGTTTGCATTTCAGATAATAAACTGTGCCTGAGGAAAGGGCTGAAAAGAGGTTTGGGTGTGGTGTTGGATTTTTACCTGGCTGATGAGGCAGCCTGCCAGTTTATAAAAATGTAGGAGCTTAGCACACACTGTATGCTTGTACAGGACTTCCTTTGCCCTGGAATAAAGACATGATGCTTTTCAGTATTTTAAAGCAGACTTGCAAATTACCTTTGAGTGCATACCATGAAAAATTATCACTACTCCAAGTGAAGAAAAAGATTGTTTATGATCCATGAGTTTGAATTTATTTTTTCTTTTTTAAGAGTGTTTTGTATGTTGGCAGGTAACAATTCCAAAAGTATCTATGTGCGAAGTGGTAGAAAAGCACACTGCTCACCAATGTAAGTTAAAGAAGCCTTAAATACAGTGGACTTACGAGCTATGCCAACGTACAAAATGAAGCCTTAGATTTTCTTGGGGATAAACGGGGAAATAAACAAATGAGAATGGAAAGCAAAACTGTAGCCACAAAACAGATGTGTATATCAAGAGAAGAAAATAATAATTGAGGGAAGTCAAAATGTTTGCATATATTTTCTCCAGAAAAGGCAAAATATGGAAAACCAAGTCAGTGCAAGTTTTACCCAAATTGCCAGTCTTTATGCTATCCTATTTCTCCGGAAGCTAAACATATCTTTGTATTAGTAGCAAAAAGTAGAACACAGACAGACTTTTTAATATAGTTTAAATTTGAACTCAACATCGGCAAGGTTGAGAGAAAATTACTCTGTTTTGGCTGATGAATGGAGGAAAGTGTTGCTTTGATGTAATGAGATTTATTCCTATGAGAATGCTCAAACAAACAGTCTGTTCAAGGTATAAACAAATGTGATTATTTATAGACTAAGCCTGATACAGACCTAAAACTCCTCACTGCATGAACAGTACTCTGTGATGTTATGCGAAAAAAATGCTGTTTGCAGGCACTGACACACAGTGTACAGTATTTTCTAAGAATGATAATGCAACATGTTCTCCAGATCCTCACAGGATATGTATTGTTATTTCAGGATCCCTTCCAAATCTATTTGATCTTATTGTAAGACTCACTTCAATGGATTTTGGTCCTTAGCTTGTCATGTAAAATACAGGCTCAATACAGAGTTTATATTCAGAGAAGTGAAATAGAACCTTCCTATTCCCACACCCTAAATAAGCACTTTCACCCCGTTGAAGATCCTTCCAAAAATAACAGGAAGCAGGCAGGTAATAGTAACTATCTGGCCTAACATTATAATTGCAGCCCCAGGGAAGGAGGGAATAATGGATGCTTCTATATTCATTTTCCCCATGATGAAATCTCCAAGGAAAAAGGACATTTGTATTAACAAAGATTCCAAATCTTTAAATAATTCATTTTAAAGACCAACTGATTTAATCATTACAAAAAAATCAATATTTTCTACCAGTCCTCTGTGGTGCGTATGTAGCCAGTGCTCTTTCACTGTTTATTCTTGACTTGAGAAGAGGAATAAATGTCCAGTGTAAAACCATGGACATTTATACAACCATAGCTCAGCAGATGAGTGGAGAATATATTTCTAAATATAGACCTCTATTGTCAGTGTGTGCAAGTATTAGCTTGTAATTACTCCCTATTAGGCTTTCTGCTGGTCAGAGTTGGATGTCTTCAGCAGGGAGAAGGTTCATATTTTGCTAGGGCAGCAAGGAGAGCGCTGTGCAGACTGCACATGTAGGATCCATCTCCTGTGAGTGTATATAGCTACAGGTACATTCCCATGTGTTGAACAGGTCTTCTGTCAATACCATTAGCTCTCTCAGCTGGTGATTTCCTCCTGTTTCTTGGTGACCTTATCTTCACCCTTAGCAACTGTGGTGAGCTCCAACTCAACATTACCTGTGTGTAGCAGCTCAGCAGCTTCTTGTGAACTAAACTTAGCCCGGAAAACCAGGAAGTGAAGCCAGCACAGAACTTTTCAAGTGGTAAAGTGGTTCAAGGTAGAACAAAACTGTTCTGTGACTCACCTATGGGAGAGTCAAAGAGGGATCAGTAGTAGAAGTTAAGGTCAGATGCTGGCTTTAGTGGGTATAAGGTGACCTGGAGACAGCAATCATGACTCTTGGCGTTCCCTTCGAAAGGAATTGCAATTAAGCCACCATCGATTAAAAAAAGCTGCATATATAGCTATATATAATAAGCATTTTTTAGCTGTTTGATTCATGAATGTGAGAATTCACACAACAATATTTTCTTAAAGAGATTCCCCATTCATTAGTGTAAATTTGTTTTCAACACTGAATGGTTAGTTATGCAATTTGAGTGTGGTCATTCTTGCAGAATTTGTACAGCATCGTCATACTCATCAACATACTCTATACTCATCAGATCCCTGGCCTGCAGATGGTCAGAGAAAATTTTTCAACCCTCATCTCACGTTAACTTGCTAAGCTCATCTGGGCTGAGAAAACTTGTGTTTACTGTTCCCTGTGGGCCTCTCAATAAGAAATAGAATTGAGATTATTTCAGTATTTCCATCTCTGCTCTCTCATCCCACCTGATTCTGCAAAATCAAAAGGTCTCCTCTCAAAAAAATCCAAAAAGGAAACACTGATCTCTGTAAAAGCAAGAAAACTTTTACATAATAATTAATTAAATTTCTGGTTTACGTACAAAAGACAGAAGGCAATATATTAAGAATAATATGTGCAATATGTTTTACTAGAAATATTGCACTTTGTTTCATTCAGCAGCCAGAGAAGACAATGATATTTTCATGGTAACATCAGTAAGAGCTAGAAGACAATATTTGATGCTTGTGTTATGTTTTATGACCCATGGATAAGTTTTTGTTGATATTCTACTCAGCTCTCACATTCAGCAATATTAGAACTATCTTTAAACTTGAGGCAACTGTCATCTTCATGTTAATGAAATCTACACATACATGTTTTCTCTGCAAGTTTCTTACTTCTTTCTGACAAATTTTCCTGTCTCATCCAGGAATACTGATCATTTTGCAGATTATAAATCAGGAAGAGTCTGCTGTTATCACATAATTTGACCTCCTACATAAACTATTTAAATGAGCTCTTACATGAATTGATGCATACCATTTAGACTGTAATTTTTTTTTATCCTAATCTCATGAATAAATAGTTCAAAGTCAGAAAAAATCTTAAGGCCTGTACCAAAAAATCCCTGGCCACTCTGTTCTTCCTCCTTTTCAAGATATGTCTTCTTGTGTTAGGACAACGGGAAATGGTTTCAAACTGAGAGAGAAGAGATTTAGATTGGATGTAAGTTTTTGTTTGTTTGTTTGTTTGTTTTTTACAATAAGGGTAGTAAGGCACTGAAATAGATTGCCCAGAGAGATAGTAAAAGCCCCATCCCTGGAGATATTCAAGGTCAGACAGGAGGGGCTTTAAGCAACCTGATCTAACTGTAGGTGTCCCTGTTCATTACAGGGGAGTTGGGCTGGATGACCCATAAGAACTGTTCCAACTCAAATGATTTACGATTCTTAGATTCTAATTTTATTTTCAAGGTCCTACATTGGACCTCTGGAACTTATACAGTAACACATGATTCACATTACTTTTGAGTCTGCTTCAAACATAGATGCAGGTGGCATCACAACAGTGGTGGATATCACCCTCTGCAAGATGTGTCTTTCTGTAAACCACAGACTGCCTCTGTAGTTGTTGTTTTAGAAGAAGCCCTTCAGCTGGTGTTATCACATGATGACACAAAGTGTGGGAAATGAGACATTTGACAGGTGCTAAGAGAACTTGAAGACTAGAAACAAGAAAAAAAAAAAAAAAAGAAAAGGAAAGAAAGACTAAAGTTATGCCAAGAGACTAGAAAAGCAATAAAAGTTTTGAAAATTGTTTTCAAGGTAGAACCAAAGCGGAGAGAATTATAGGTCACTGGCTAGATTAGAGGAAACAATACATGAGATGCTACATTATATTTATGGCCACTTCATATGGTTATGTGATTTCCCTACTCTATTATACCAGACCTTATGGAACACAGTAAAAAATCTTTATGAACTGCTCCTTCTTTGGAAATTTCACTTACAATAGTAAGTCTGCACAAAACTGTAATTTGTTGCTTTTTCAGTGAAAACTTGTTTCAACATCTGAGTTCCAAAGCAGCTGTACAGCTGTCTGTTGCAAACTTGGTCTCAGAATTATTCAAATGTTGGGGAAAATACTCTAAGTCAGATACCATATATTTTCTGATTGGTTGTTGTTGTTGTTTGTTTTAGCTTGGTTTCCTAAGAAAACAGCAATTTGTGCTGTTCAGGCAACTTTCTGTCCCAGTTTCTTTCTGACCCGTTTCTATAGATTTTTTATACTTTTCTAAGTATGGCTGCCATCTTAATAATACTTACAATCCTAAGTGTTTCACAGAATTTATCTCATAGATGGAATATCATCTCACAGTACTCAAGTAGAGCACAAGAAAGGAGAACTCAGCAGTTACAAAAAATATTTGCCTCATCGGCCAGTGAGCCCAGATGTAAGTGGCTGGCTAACAAGCATAGCAATCAAGACAAGCACAGAAGCAATATTTCCTTACCAGGAAATTTTTTTATAATTACCTTTGAGGGAATTATTGTAGAGCAGAGGATATTGTGGTGGAAAGGGTTGAAGAAAAAAAGGGATCAAAATCTGTGAAAAGCCAGCAATGCCTCTGCTTAGAACCACCTATTAATTACACATACAAAAGATTTCTGCAATCACCAGAAATATTCAGCATGCAGTACTTTTTTCAATGAGTGTATTCATTGAGAATTATCCCAAATACATCTTTAAATGTCATTATATCTATGCACAAAATAGCAAAGAAATATTTTAATACATTTATGCATCAATTCTAAGCAGTCAAATGTTTCCTTGAATATGCAAATACAATGTATAAGTGCAGCAGTAATATAAGCATCCAAAAATTTGATTATAATTTCAATTTCATTAACACTATCCACATTCTCCAAAGAATGTTGATTAAAAAAATCAAGTCAAATTAAGAAATTTGACTAGAGCAGTAAGTCAAATTATGCAACTATTTATGCAATAAGTATATTGTGTATAGAAGTTTTCATTTGCCAAAGCAATAATTTTAAAACCAGTACAAAACCAAAACTGAATATAATTAATTGGAAGAGTATATGTTTCAAAGCAAAGACTGATAATGAAAAATATCTTCTGAAACAAGGGCTGAAACAAACTTTCAGGCCAAGGCATTGTTTTTTCATTGCTATCACCAGAGGGGCACATGGCCCCCTGTCCTCTCTGCCAACTCTCTTTCGTATGAGTCAGCAGGAGATCGAAAGTCTGTCAAACAACAGAAAGGAGATAACGCATTCATAGACCACTCTATTCCACACATGCCTCCACAGCTTTATTCCAGTATGCCAGAAGAGGAGAATCAAAATGACTGCTTTCTCAAATCCATCCACGTGCTGCTCAGTGTCGGCCTTGTTGAAATGGACAAAAGGGCAAACTGTCTGCAAATGAGATTAGCATCAACAAGGGCAGCAGGGAGTTGGCTTGGTCACTGCTGCAAATCAGCTTGTACTCTCAGCTGCTCTGCCCAGCAGAGATGCAATGGTGGCCCAGGAACTATTCCCCAAGGTGTTCTTATTCCACCTACAGCAAATCCTTGGATTTCACTCCAAGAATGCCAGGAGGGAGAAGTGTGGGGGTTACTACTGGCAAAACTGCATTACAGCTTTAATCTTACTGATTTTAAATTGAACCTGCATAAAAGATGAGTCTTTGTATTTAAAAAAAATGTATTGACAGTGAAGAATATTTCTCCCACTCTAAAATGAAGTACCTTAAAATTAACACACAATGAATATCTTTGAAATTATGCTCCACATCTTTAGTAATGTAAATAAATAAATAAATATGTCTTTTAATTTTAATTAATAAATAAATAAATGTGGAGAAAAACAATTACACATCTTCATATTTTTCAGATACAACAGCAGGTATCAGGAATAACATACATAGACCATGTTTATTAGGTACAGTTCTGAACTAATTGTTAAAAAAATGGAAAATTCCAAAGATAAGCATGCCATACACAATATAAAAGATTATATAACAAGCCAACTGGAAAAACACCTACAAAACCTGCAGCACAAATCTTCCCCAGAGACTGAGTACAGTCAAAATAAAAAAAATATACCGAATAATTAACAGGCGTCTTTGAAAATGGGGTGAAGTGGTTTTAGGCTAATATCCTGAAGGAAGTAACATGGTACACACTAAATCATGCATTACAGGAAAATGAAATCCTACCCACCTAGCTGCTGTTGAACCTCTAAGAACTGTCATTGCACAGGTGCTTAACAAGTCAGGAGTTAAGAAAGCAGTCCGGAGCACAACTATGTCCCTCTGAGACATTTAACACTGCTCCAGATGACAAGTAAAATCATCCTGGCAAGAATGTCAGTGAACAATACTGCTGGTAACTCTAGACAAAGAACCTAGATCCAAAGGTCAGTGAATGTGAGTGGGCTTCAATGGGCTGTGGATTAGGTCCCAGTTGCATAGGGTACAGAAGTTGTAGTAGGGGCCTGGGGGGAGAAGCCCACACACTCTCTTGTGGCAATGGGCAGTCTTCAGTACCTGCGCATTGCTCTCTCAAATTGCTGTAATCCAAAGGTGAGTTTGGCTCTTTACTCTAGACTACTCAGTGTGTGTAAGAGTTGAACTAGAATGGGTAGAGAACATAATATTGCACAGTGAACCATATGTCCTGGTAGGATGAACTGCTGTAGAAGATGAAATACTAAGTAATACTGAGAATTACTGGGGAAAAAAAACACCAACAAAACCAGTAACAAAGAAAGAAAGAAAGAGAGAGAGAGAGAAAGAAAAACCAAAAGGTATTGTTTAAGAAAAATACCTGCTTGGCATGTGAAAACTCTGACCGCATTATGAGTCACTGCAAGTGACTTCTGATGATTCACTGCCATTTTCTAAAACTCTGATAACAATCTCTAGTTGTTTCCAAAAACTTTTTTTTTTTTTTTTTCCCAAACAAATAGCTTTGGCAGCTTTTCATATCACAAAACTGCAATTTAGTTTTCTTCTTTTAGTCATATTAGTGAGTGTAGTAGGTTAAGATCACTTACGTTTCTTGCTCTTTGCATCTAGGAAGCCCATTTCTAGTGTAGTGCATTAAGAACTTGACTGCTGCAATTCCAGTTGTAAATTACTCTTAATTCTGGTGTTGATGGTCATTTCCTAGGAACAGGAATGAAGAAACAGAGCTCATACTGGTAGACCACTGGAATGCCATCTGATTCTATCTTTTGGTTGCTGACATGGCCTCTGTTTGAGCTAGTGACTCATACTTTATTTATGCAGGAATGTTTAATCACTTGCTTACACCAGTATCATTGCACAGATAAAAATAAAACCATGGACATTCTGTCAGGTATGAGAATGTTTCTTCCAGTCAAGCATAAATCCCTTTCCAAATGATACAATGTAAACTGAAAAAAAAAATAAATTTTTTCCATATCAGAAAAAGGGGGTCAAACTAAATTGAAGTAAATTGACACACTCAGCAAACGTACAGAGTTTAGCAGTGAAAAACTCAGCTCTGTTAGTACTAGTGTTCCTGACAGTCTTCACAGTGTTCTGTCCTGAACCTATTCAGTTGCTTGATATGAATTTAGGCACATTAAAAACTCTCCCAAAAATCACAGCATCCGGCAATTTGGGTAGGCAACAGCTTTGAAAATTGACATTATACAGCTTTGGAATATGTTTGAATAGTTTTGAAAAGTGGTTCAAGTTAAATCTGCTTATCAGATAAATTGTTTAAATAAATGATTGATACATTTCATACTTAAGACTGCAGGAAGAATTTCTTGATTCTGTTCATTCTACTGCATCTTCTTACATAGAAATGTGAAAATTTCAGATGGGAAACATCAATAGTCAGATAATTCTTCCAGTAATTTTGCTCCAATTTTTTTGTTCTACTCCAAGGCATAAATCAGTGATTGCACCCACATGAAATAAAAGCTGGTCTTGTGTTAATCACTGAGCACTGTGTTGAGACATCCTTGATCACCATGTGAATGCTCCTAGTCCATTTCAGCGCAATATTGCAGAGGCTAACTAAACCACTCTCAGCTTAGTTTGAGCCATTTTGACTTCTAAAAGGAAGGCTTACCAAGTCTCAGCCAGAAATCTCAGCTGGGAGTCAGATTTTCCTGAATTTTTTTTTTTTTTTTAGAAAAACAGGACAGAATACAAGGCTGAACTGTAAGAATGAACGAATATTGATATTGGATCAGACCTAACACTGATCTAGCTCAGTATTTGACACATGCATCAGCTATGAGCAAAAACGCTAAAGGAACAAAGCCAAGTACTGAACGATGCTTGTATTTATTAACATTCAGCTGTAAGAAATTTTGGTGAAAACTGAAACCTCCTGATGGAAGTTTCTACAGTGATTTGTCTGATCTCATTTAATTTATCCATACTTTGGCATTTTTACTATCCCATAGCACTTGGTCATCACCTGGAAAAAAAATATTCTCCTTCACTTAAGCCTGCTGCTTGATAATTTTTTAGTGTGGTTCAGGTCCTTGTGTTGTAAGAAATAGAAGGCAAGAAAAGATTTTACTAAGTGTAAAATCACTTCATTGTGTCACATTGTATTAGGCATTAATATTTACATAGAAATCAGTATATCTGTGCAAGTCTCTATTGAATTTTCAATTTGTTTTTAGTGCACACGGACCTGGCAGTTTACTCCATTTCAGTTACAGTATGTTGATCAACGCTTTTCTGATTCCTATGGGGACATCTGTTCATTAGCACGCAGGGAGGCCAATATTGCTTTAGGTAAAGATCAGCTAGTTCCTCTGTTCTACACACTTGGGAAGAATAGCATTGCTTATAAAATGTAACAAATGTTTCCTGGACTCCAGCCAATATATTTTTGATCTTTTCTTGATCTTCATTTTCACTAATCCTTTTCTTTTTGTATTTGTGCCTTTTGTTGACATGCCAAAATTCTGTCAGTCTTGTTTCCTCTTTCAAAAAACGTATTTTTGTTAAGTTGAATTAAGCATTCTACCCTGTTGCCAAGAGCAAATTAAGTTCCCCCCTTGCTGAAATAAAATTTTGTAAAGTGTCCGGGCAATTAGCTCTAATATGTGGTTGCTGTAACTCTTAATTTTCCCCTTTCAAGGGTTTTCTTTTCCTCTGTCTTTGTTTCTGCACAGAAGATGTGAAATTCCTTCTCTTCCCTCTGGTTGTAGCCTTTTAGTTCCACAGTATCCAGCAATCTGAACAACTTAGCCAAACCTCACTTTTAATCTATAATCCAAAGGTATTTGAACTAACAAATTGTTCATTCTTCAAGCAGAAGGCTGAGCTGGTGGACCAGCCTGTTGGAACTGGAACAGAACTTGAAGAACAGACTTCTGAAGAGCTCTCCCAAGCACAACATTTAAGCACATCATACATGCAGCAAAAGATTTCCCATGACAGCTGAAAACTGGCACAGCTCACCTGTATAACTCAACAACAGAAGTCTTTCACATCTTTGCATTTGCTGTCAGGGGCTCAATTCCAAAAGGGGGGTTCAAGGAGGAAAAATTACAAGCATATAATTATTTCAAGTAGCTGGAAAAGGAAAGGCCTCATTTCAGAATGATCACAACAAAGTCCTTCCTGTGTGGTGGAATGGCTCAGCTCTGCCTTATCCTTCTAGCCATGCCTCAGCATTCTCACATCAACAGCAGCCTATTGAAGGTTTCTTCTAAAGGTCGTCTTCGACAAAGAGGTTTTCCTTATCCCCTTCCCCACCTCTTTGCATTGATATACATGCAGGAAGGATAAGACAAGGATTAAGACTTCTCTCTGCTAGCCATACCAAGCACTCTGATGAGGAAGGATGTAATGAGAGCCAATGAAACAGTTGTCTCAGTTCCAGTAAAAAGTCATCTTCTATTAAAAAAAAATCCTGGACAGTTTCCCAGTGTCAACTAGATTAGGATCAGCTAATTTGTTTATAAGGAGTCTGACAGCTTGAACATTACTCTGTCAGCCACTGTCCCTCTCTTTCCTTTACATCCCTATTTATTTTGGCAGACTTAAGCAGTGTATATGATAAAGCTGTTTTATAGTAACAGCCATAGTTCTACTTAAAACAGAGCACTGAAAGTCAGAGAAAAGCTTCTTGTATTCCGGAGGATATCTATACACATCTACAAATTGACCAGCCGCACTGCAAATGCTCTAACAAAACAACACATGAAACCTACAATGACATGAAATTCTCTTTTGTTAAATACATACATATATATATATATATATATATATATATATACACATATACTTCTCTCCACAAGTGTATTTTCCTGCTCATGTACTTCCCATTGCTGATTGCCAATCCATCAATGCACTACTCCCTTAAGACTGAGATGTGGGTAAATTTTTTTGTTTCCCTTCTTTCCTTCTTCATTTCCAGTGGTTTCTACAACACTTCATAGGCTGTCTCTTTCCTAATTTTATTTCCTCTCTACCCTAATTGGTAATTTAGAAGGGAGATACAGCTGAGAATAAGGTGCCCAGCCCTCATCAACTTCATTACAAACAATGCACCAAGTACCCCTCAGTGTTTGGAAATTCTCTTGTGAATAGCAACACATTAATAACTCAGTCTCTTTATTTTAAAGTAACATGGCTGCAGTTGTGTTCAGTATTTCATGGCCTGTCTGCTCCCTGCCTTTTCTAATATCCATAGCAGCCAATTTTTCTGCTCCTTCAGGTGACTTAAAATAATCTGCGTGTGGACAAGGTTAAGAAGCCTCTGTACGTATTCCTAGAGAATAGTTGGGGAGGATCCTGAAGAAGGTTATGATGACAGGTGTGAGCTGAAGCAACTTCTCACAGAATCACAGAATCACAGAATCACCCGGGTTGGAAGGGACCTCAAGGATCATGTAGTTCCAACCCCCCTGCCTAGCAGGGCCACCAAACACACACATTCAGATCAGGTTGCCCAGGACCCCGTCCAACCTGGCCTTAAACACATCCAAGGACGGGGCATCCACAACCTCCCTGGGCAGCCCGTTCCAGGGCCTAACCACTCTCCTTGTATAGAACTTCCCCCTAACATCCAACCTAAATCTTCCCTCCTTCAACTTGGATCCATTTCCCCTAGTCCTGCTGTTGTCAGCCCTTTTGAAGAGTTTACTCCCCTCCTGGGTGTAGGTTCCCTTCAGGTATTGATAGGCTGCAATGAGGTCACCCCGCAGCCTTCTCTTCTCCAGGCTGAACAAGCCCAACTCCCTCAGCCTGTCCTCATAGGGGAGGTGCTCCAGCCCCCTGATCATCTTAGTCGCCCTCCTCTGGACCCTTTCCAAAATCTCAATGTCTTCTCCTTCAGATATCCCACCATTACTTTGTGGAATGGGTGGGAAAGGGCACGGAACTCAGTTGTAGGCTGAACCTGAATCTGCATCTGAACCTTCTCTGTCTTTTTTGTTTTTTTTAACCAATCAATTCAAATCCCCACACAGGCTCATTTTGCGGGATCTCACCATAGCAGCCATGTGTGACCTGCTCCCAGCTTCATTCAGTGCACTAGCAAAGTTAGCTACCCTCCTCTGTTGTAATTAGTATCAGAACTCATCAGAACTCTGGTGCCTATTATCATAGTGCTCCAAGAAAAGTCTCAGATATTTGAAGGCAAGTCCAATAGTCCACAAGGCCTGAACTTTCACAGTAACATTCTGCTCCAAATTTTATCCTCCTCCTCTAGTTCATGAGTTTCTCCATGCTCTTCTCTCTTCATCTTTTCATTTCCCATCTGGAAACCCAATTCACACCCTGTTCTGTTCCACTTGCTTTAGCTTCTTAATCCTCCTTGATTCTTACCCCTGATAAGAATGAATTCTTTTTTATTAATGTTATCAAAAGGATGAGTTAAAGTCAATGCAAGACTTGTAATTCAGCTGCATTGTTGAAGTGAAAAGTCAAGCCAGTGAAAAAAGCAAATAAAACATGCTCGAAGGTATACCACAGCAGCTTTTAAAAGAAAACATAGACTCTTCAGAAAAAAAAACAGGCTTCTAAAGATGAGAGAGAGGTGCATGATCATTCAAGGGACAAGTATTCATAGAAGCTACTGGTAAAGTACATACAATATTTTTCAAACTTTTCAGGTCAGCTATATGATTAGAAAAACCCATCTCATAATATTGCCATGATTT